CCCTTTCTTCACTTGAATCGAAACGGCGGCAAATTATAATTTGGACGCGGCGGAGTTTTCGGACGCGGACGAACACGTTTGTGAGGCGGTGGAAGATGACCCTCATTTTGGGCATTTTCCTGTCGTTGTTGAAATGTTGTTAATTCCTCTGTACACTTAGCCGACATTTTCTCATCCAATTCAGCTTTAAGTCCTTCACTCAATTCTCGATTATAAACTTCAATATTTGCTCGAAGTTCAGCACAAAAATGTGCGGGGCTCATTTTATCAAGGCAATGAGTTTTTAAATTGTAAAGTTGATAACGTTCAGCCAATGCCAATTTTTGAATCAAAGAGAAATGTTGTTCAATATTGTTGTTGTTTTGATTTAAATTGGCATGATTATGCTGGTAACTATGAGTGTGAAGTTGAGTGTGGTTATTGTTGTTATTTTGTCCAATATTTCCAAGATTGATGAGATTGGATGAAATAACCATAGGTATATAATTGCAGGAATTACAGACACTAAATTAAATAAAAAAATTTCTTGGGAATTAGGAGATAGTAAAACTAAATTTGAGTTAAAGTAAATTACGACTGTTTTCAATAAGTAAGAAAAAACGTTAAAATGTGGATATTTGCCATAAAAATAAATCGGGGTTTAGTGGCGTCCCAGGAAAACCACATAAAATATTAGAATTTTACAAATTTAATTTTAACTTAATAAAAAATTTAAAAACCAACTTATTTGCATTATTTGATGAACAAGGCAAAGCATTTCCATCATCAGCAGAAAAACCATTAATCAGCAATCTTTCACATCTTTCAGTAACAATTGGAAGATCATATTTATCAGCCAAACGAAGAATATCAGAGATTTTCGAAACTAAAAATTTTTTTACAAAATAATAGAAAAATATAAAAGAAACCTGAAGGTTCAGGAAAATTATCAACAGGATAAGACATTGCTAGCATTTGTTGAAACGCTTCGAGATCATCACCAGAAGCTGTAAGATCGTATTCATCAACATCCCTTTGTGCCCAATTAGAAAAAAATAAAGTGCGAAAATAAGAAGAATAGGTAGCCAAATGCTTAAAAATGAGAATTAATAAATAGATACTCCAGAAAAAATTTTTCTTACATATTTATTGAAGAAAATAATTTTGTCGTGAATACGAAATCGAGCACCTAATTGGATGAGTGAGCTGAAAAAATATTAGTTAGTTAAAACTTCATCACTTATTTCGTCTCAAACATAAAAACAAATAAAAAATTACCCATAACCGGTTTGTTCCAAAACATTAATTTTCACAGAAATATTCAACCAATCCTTGTCACCAGAGAGCTGAAAATCCCGAATTAAGTTATCCCAAGGAAGTTCAATTCCAATAGTGCCATTTGCCAAACAACCAGAACTAGATGGAGGAGGAACAGCACGATAAGAAGTCATTGGAAAGCGAGCATTGTCAAAAAAGTATTGTTGAGATTTACGCTCAGATTCGACAACAAACTGAAAATTTTTAAAAATAAGAGAAAAAGTAGATTCAAGGAAGGTCTGTAATTTTAGTTTAACATTGATCAAACTGTTGTTCCCAAATTCCTTAATGCGTAAATCAGTCCCGTACCCAGAATTTTTTTCGAGGGGAGGGGGCGAATGAAGAAAAATTTTACTGCGACAAATTTTTGGCGCCGAAGCCAAAAACTTTAATGTTATGCGTCGCAGGCAAAAATTTTTTTAATTTTGGAGCTTTGAATTTTGTATTCCCCTGGCTGCGAGCCTAGCGTAAATCATTAAGGATTAATTTACTAATGTGTTCCGTAAGTTTCAGGAAAGTAGTCCAAAGATTGTGAAACCGGGAACAACATTTTTTGGTTAATAGCCGAAAGAACAATAAATAACTGAATTGTGCCCAAAATAATCGATTAATTTCTAGACCAAATGAGATATGAATTTGAAAAATAAGAACAATTTCAATGCTCAACCAGGAACTGATTCACAAATTAAATTAATAAATCCAATATAATGCTCAATAAAGGCCTAATATTAGACCTATTATATTACGCCCCACTAATTTTGTCTAATTTTTTATAATAAAAAATTAACCCTTATACGAGAATTACAACTCCATCCATCAAGTCTTTTGCCTCGCTCATTACAATGAGCATAAATCAATAAAGTCGGCTTAGGTTGATGTTCTTCATTCAAAATATTATGTTTAAAAGCACCCAAAACCCTAAAATTAAAAATATTTCTTTAAAATTATATCAAAAATAAACCAATTAAAACGTGAAATCATTCCATTAGAAGTAAATTTTTGGTCAGTTTCCATAGATAAAACTCGGTCAAGTTTAAGATCCAAAAGTCCATCAAAATGATCATCAACACCAGACATTGTTTAAATTTAAATAAATATAATCAAAACAAAAACTATATTGAAATATATTTAATGAAACGTAAAAAACAAAATAGAAAACCCCCAAAAATTTTTTGGCAAATAAATTAAAAAATAATAGAAAACCCCAGTTAGGCGCGAGGACATAACGGCGCAAAGCCATAACTCGCAGGAAAATTTCCGACCCCTATTAATTTTAGTACCAATCTCTATAACTCGATGAGAGAAATCGTTTAATACTAAATTTGGTAAGAATCGGAAATCTTGAAGCAAATTATGGCTTTGCGCCGTTATGGCCGCGCGCCTACTTGGGCTGTACCCGAAAATAGCATTGTGCAGAGAAAAAAATTAAATTAACATTATGCCAAAAAATTAAAATTTGACTTTTCTTTTGACTATAAAAAGAAATCCCGAAAAAAATTATCCGGGATCCCGCCCGGGATTCGGGATTTTTTTCAAAATGAAAAATTTTAACTTTTTATAAATAAAGTCCATCAAAATACTTCAATTTATATGTAAATACAATTAAATTTATAAAAATATCAATAATTTTTTATAATTGGATTGTTCTCCTCCTTTAATTCCCTCTATAATAATTTAGAGGGATATCGGTGGATTAATCAACAGGTCCCTTGATAAAATCCCACTATATACTAATATCCCTCCGCTTTATCTCCAATAAAGACTCCAATTTTCTCCCGTTTTTAGCGCCGCAGGCAAAAATTTGGGGAATTTTGGAAGATCCTTAAGCCAGATTTCTTCCTTTTTCAGCGCCGCAGGCGAAAATTTAGAGAATTTTTAGTGGACAAGAAACCAGATTTCTTCTTTTTTCAGCGCCGCAGGCGAAAATTTTGAAAATTATAAAAATCCCGAAAATTATAAAAAATGTCCGGGATCCCGAGTCGGGATTTTATTTTTTAACCGATGCCGGGACGGGATCCCGAGGGAGTAATCCCGAAAAAATCCCGGATCCCGAATGATCCCGAAAATCAAAAAAATCCGGGATTTCGGGATCGGGATCCCGGAAAATCCCGTCGGGATCCCGTCCCGCGCCGGTCCGTATCCCCTCAAAATCTCTATTCCTTAAAATCTCTACTGGGCTAAAATGCCTTATAATCTCTACACAGCTAAAATGCATTAAAATCTCTACTCGGCTAAAAATTATTAAAATAACTATTCCTTAAAATCTCTATTCCTCATAATCTCTACACGGGTAAAACGCCTTAAAATCTCTACACGGACAAAAATAGGATAAAATGTCTATTTTTTCATTCGGAAGACTTTTGAGTGCCAACGTTCAGTGCGGAAACGTTGTTCTGATTTCTGGCTTATCTTTTGATATTATTTTGCTTGTATTGTTTTTGCCGCTGCGGATGAACCCAGGCATGTCCAGCGGAACGACACATACAATCACCGCAAGAAAAATGAACACGACCGCAGCGAAGCAGTCGTGTATTATATCTTCGATATTTACGGCGGATACAAGCAGATATCCGCAGCCATTTTTAAATCAATTGTATCCATATCCGTATCCATTACCAAGTCTGGGTTTTCCAATGAAAAGTTCATATTTTACACTTTTGTTGAGACTCTACCATTCATTTGCACGGTGTAGAGATTTTAATTATTTTTACCCCAGTAGAGATTTTAAGGAATAGTTATTTTAAGGAATAGAGATTTTAAGCATTTTTAGATTAGTAGAGATTTTAAGGAATAGCGATTTTAAGGAATAGAGATTTTGTATGGGAGCCCGCCGGTCTTCGTGCCCGCACAAAATACCGAATTCTCAAAATCGCGAATAGGCTAAAAAAGCTCAAAATCGCGAATCGGTAAAAATATCTCAAAATATGGAATCGGCCAAAAAAGCTCAAAATATGGAATCTTAAAATATCGAATCTCAAAATCGCGAATCGGCCAAAAAAGCTCAAAATACCGAATCGGCTAAAAAGTAGTTAAAAATGTCGAATTTTTTAAAAACGAAAAGGGCCGTTTGAGTGCCGCTGCAGGTCTTTTTCTGATTATTCAGGGATCTGTAACTCAGTCCAATCAGGTCGGATTTCATTGATTTTGGTATCATTCGATGCAGCTCGACGTGCTCTTTCAGATGAGCTATCATTCGGAAACTCGAAATTCGGTTCGGGATTCGAAATTCGGTTCGGGTCCGGGATTCGACTTTTTCAAAATCCGAGCTGAGATTCGTAATCAGCACATTTTTTTACCTTAGAAAAATACTTTCTCTTATTTTTAAAATTTTTTTACGAAGAAGTTGGTCACAACTTTGTTCAGACTCAACTGGCCTTTGCCGCATTGTCGATATTTTTCGATATTTTGAGCTTTTTTTGCCTATTCCATATTTTGAGATTCGATATTTTGAGATTCCATATTTTGAGCTTTTTTAGCCGATTCGCGATTTTGAGATTCCATATTTTAAGAATTCGGTATTTTGTATGGGAGCCCCGGTCTTTTGTACAGACAGGTAAAATAATGAAAATAGCATGTGTGCAGAGAAAATAATTAAATTAACATTATGCCAAAAGAATTTTTTAATTTGAATTTTCTTTCTACTATAAAAAGACTTTCTCTCACAATTAATTTTAGTAGTTGATGTTCTAGATAATTTTTAAATTTTTTAGTGATAAAAGGATGGAGCCGGTCAATAATATTATTTCTATTTCTAAGGCTATTTTGACTTTATTAGAGGAGAAACGGCGTATTGACGGTGAACTTGCAAAACGCGAAGTACTTTTAATGGCTAATCTTAAATTGATTACAATGGAACCTCCAAAGACTATTGACGAACAAAATTCGCCAGAATCACCAATTTCTGGCAATTCTGCTGATTTAACTAATTATGAGACTCCATTACAAATTCCGTTGGAACGCGAGGATGTTAAGAACAACAGCGAGGATAATATCAATCAGGAGGTTAATTTAAAATTAATTTTCCGAGTTGTTTTAGGGCAAAATCGATTTTTCTCCGGATTTGTAACTTTAACGGGGCAGCAGAATATAAGGGGTTCACCCTTTTCAACCCGTATCTGGGAACCGTATTCCGGAAAAATCCGGCCGAATCCGGTTCGACGCCGGGCACTAATGACTTTCAAATTGTGTTTCTTGTGGTACTCCCCCTCCCTTTTCCCGTATATTCTATCGGCGTGTTACTTTTTTAAACATTCATTAGTTCCTTTTGCTAGACACAAATCATACCATAACTTTCAGACACCGGAAGAACAATTGCCACCTTCTCCCGAGCAGTTGCCTCTTCCGCAGCCCAACTCAATTTTTGATGTGGAAGTTTCTCCTTTGTCTGTCAGCCACAGCAACAATAACGTCAACAGTGCTGTTGAGGCTCCTCTTTCTGATGATGAAACTTTGGAAGTTACTGATGAAGTTGAACGTGAAATTGGTTTAATTATTTATTAAATCTGATTAGATATTGCTTTTTTAATTTAGATCAAGTTGGCAATGGAGAACGTAATTTGGCTGATGCTGGACTTGGTGGTCGGAACAACAATAGTTTTACAGGTTTCATATTAACTCTAGTCGGAGGGAGGGGAAGATGTGAAAACTCAGTTTGCCATTGTTAAAGTAGGGGTCGGAAAATTTATAACCTCGGGATACCTCGTTGTTTTGGGATCTCTCAAAACTTACATTGAGACAAACAAATCAATAGGTTACAAGGAGGAGACTGGGGAGGCTTTTTAGTTCATTAAATAGGGAGTTCGTCTATATCTCAAAATATTAAATTGAAAATTACTTTAACCGCTATCATTATTCTCTTTCAGTTCCACTTCAAGAGCCTCCAACAAATTTTACTATGAAACTCGACTTCAGCCTCAATGATCTTTTTGATACTGATCAAGACAATTTTCATTCAACAGAGCAAATAATTAACAACTTTAAATGGATTTTGAAAATTAATTATAGAAAGCAACAAGAGTTTAAAGGGAAAACAATTCCTCTTTCTTTGGGTATTTTTGTTCAATGCAAAGGACCTTTAAATGAGAATAATCGAGGAAGTTGTATTGTGAATGAACTCAATTTCAAAATTCATAATTGGAATCAGGGCGTTCCCGGATTGATGAAGACAAGAGGTTGCTCAACTCCGTTTGAGCCGCCATTTACTTCAACTACCGGTGTTTGGTTTAATTTGGATAAGAAGAAGGTTATTTTTTGTTTTTTATTTTGATTAAGGGGAGTGGTTTTAGAATACAGACTAATTTTTCGCATCTATTTTTAAAAGTAGAGGGAATTTTGTAAAAGTAAGGGAGTGAGTTCACAATCATAGGTAAACTCGCAGTTTCCAGATACCCAAAACTGTGGCATAATTGGGGTATAATTGATGTCTTTCTAATTATCGTGTCCTGGCCTGTAACCTGGAGTTTTTTCGGGAGAGGCGGGCAAGTGGAAAATTTTTCTCTAATTTTTTGGCCCCAAATACCCCCTGGTTTACGGGCCTGATCTTGACCGTTTATGGAAAGCAGGTTGTAAAATTTAGCCTTTTTATTGTCTAACGTCGTCAGATCTGTTGATTTTCGTTCCTTCTTTCTGTTTACATTTCTTTTTCCTTTTTTAAGGATTAAATTTTTAAGAAAAATTTTAAATTTAAAAATTACAGAAAATGATCGAAGAAGGACTTGTTACCAGAGAAGATCTGAGAATTCGTGTTTCGGTTGTGCTTATATTCCGCCATCCACACAATTCTAACTCGGCTCAAAGTATTCCAGATGACTGAGGACCGATTTAAATATTGAGAGGAAATATTGTTATGAAGATAAGTTAAATTGTTGGAAATTTTTATTGGATTTTTAAAAATGTTGAGGGGAATTTTATTGTTAAAAATATTTAATTTGGTTGTTTTTGGCTATTTTTAATAAATTCTTTTTTTAGTAAATAAATTTTTTATTGAATTCTCGAAAGGGTTTTTGTAAAATTTTGGCAAAAACTATCTAAGCGATCGTTCGTATCTCGGCCCCACAAATTTTGAATATCCGTCCTCCAATTAATCTCGACAGTTCTAACTGCTGACATGAAAATGATTGTTTTTCCAATATGTATTTTCTAAATTATACCGTGGCATCGATGCTTTCTCTTTTCCCTTTTTAGATCGTTTAAACCCACCTAAGCGTTTTAAATGTTGCTAGGTCGATCATCCTTACACTAATATAAAAATAAAATTTTTGTTTTTATGAAAGTTCACTTCTTAAGAATTTAAATTCTAAGAATTCAGAAATTGAGAGAAAATTTTTTAATTTTTTTAAAAATTCAACAATTTTCTCAGTCAAAATCCAATCTTGTAATAAAATCTCATTTTTTATTTATCAAATAAAAATAAAAAAATTTTTCTCACAAATATTTTTTGTATTTTTAAAGACATGATAAACAAAATTTTTAAGAATGATAAACAACTTTGTGTACTTAATAATTAAAGTAACTATTAAATAATAAATTATTACTTTTATTATACTTAAAATTAAAAACTTCAAAAAATGTCCTTGGATATACTTGATATTTTATTTAAATTAGATTATTTTGTTTGTTTATTAATTGGTTTTCCTTTAAATATTCTTCTGATTGTTTTAATTATTTTTAAAACACCAAAAGAAATGAAAACACACAGTCGAATTCTGATACAAAATTGTGTTTTGGATATTTTAATTTTGATTGTTCAATTGTTTATTCAAACGGTAATTCTTCAAGGGGTAACCCTCCTCCAAAAAAAACAAAACGAAGATAGAATTTATTTGGGTAAAGCAGCTGGGCTATAGCTATTTCTCTCCTTTAGCTAGTGCAAAAGGTTATTCGTCGGCAGGGAGCGAATCAGAATTTCAATAGACCGGACTGATGTGTTAGCCATTACACTGCACAGCCTTAGGATTAAATAGCTATATATGCTTTACATTGTAATTTTTTGTAGAGTCGGAAAATCGCTCTCCCGGAATCCCGTAATAATAATTTAGGATCGGTTTATTATTTCTCTGACCCCGAACCCACTTGAACCCTATTTAAGACCAATTTTGAAGTTAATTATTTAAAGTTTTATATACTTGATGCTGAAGGGAATACAAATATAATCTTCTCTAATGGAATTTTGCTTGATTTAATGAATGAATTTAATCCATTTATGTTTAATATACTTTATACGTTTTGGGAATGTACTAGTTATTTAAATTTAACTGGATTGTGTGTTCAATTTATTTATAGATATTTAGTTTTGAATAGGTAAATAGATTTGAGGTTTACATAATTATCAGTCATTCATTAAACCTCATTTAACATTTAAATAAACCACATAATATTATGTTCTCCACGGCCCTATATAAATTATCTGCAGATTCAGTGGTCTGTGCACAGATAATTTATATAAGCCCCAGACGTTTTTATTTTATACTTTTCTGAAATCCCATTAAATTTAATACAAGTGACTATGTGAATCCGGGTATTGTAACTTATAGGAGGTTTTGTTGGCTCAACCGATTTCGACAAATGAGGTGTAATTCGAAATAGCTCGCCGAGCTGAGTCGATCGCGCGGGGGAAGAAGTCAATCCGACAATCAGGAACCGAGTTACAGATTCCTGAAGTTTGAAAAAGAGAACAGATCGACTTCTTCCCCCGCGCGATCGACTCAGCTCGGCGAGCTCTTTCGAATGACACCTCATTTGTCGAAATCGGTTGAGTCAACAAAAACCCCCTATAAGTTACAACATTCATAAATCCATGCTATAAATCTAGAATAATTATTATTAGGAATATAAAAATTAATTTTCGCCGTTATTTGTTTATGGCATCCATTGCTTCATTTGTGTCGTTATTATTTATGACTGATTTGTTTTTCTTTATTACTCCATATTCTAATGGAGGTATTAAATATTTTGATAATATTAACAAAACATTGCCGTTTATTCAATATAGAATGGATACGGTTAATTTTAAATTAAATTTTAATTTAAATAAAAATTAGATGAATGTTTTGACACAATTACCTGTAGTATTAATTGGAATATTTGCATATTTAATAATATTTGTTTGTGGATTTAAAATGGTTAGATATGTCGATTTAAACACTAATTTAGATGGAGATTTAAAAAGATTGAATAAACTTTTGACAAAAGTTTTGATTATTTTGGTATGATTTTTGGTACTATTGTCGTTTCACCTCATGACCCAATTTTTTTGTAGGCAGGTCAAATACACTGAATATACTGAAATACACAAATGATAGCTCCGCGATACCTTTAGGTCCCAGACCTGGATGTCCCAGACCTTTTTGTCAAAGATCATTTACGTCAGTAATGCTTCATTTTTAACTTGTACTGTGAATAATGATTGAATATTCACAGTGCCCTCGAGAAAATATGTATTTGTAAATGAAAAGTTTAGGGTGGTTCTGTTTAAGCGAAGCAAATTAAAAGGTTTCGAAACTAAACAACGAAACTGAAAGAATAAACACACATGTCGGAACGTTTCTCGCAGGTCTGATACCAGTTATCAGGAGATTTGACGGTATTAAGGGAAAATATTTAAGTTGCAGGAATAAGGGGAACCACTGAGTTGAAGTGGAAGTTTTTCTGAGCCGCTCCATGATGACAGAATATGGGTATTCAGATCAAGGATTCTCTTTCTTAATGCTGCAGGCGAAAATTTTGAGAATGATTGGGAAAATTTTAAAAACAAGAAATTGGATAAAGTTTATGGGGCCCGCCACTGGTTAGGAACAATGCTTCAAAAATTATCGGAAGTCGGAAGTCATGAGTATTTACTAGTGAGCATCCTGAGCATTCCTGATGAATAGTACATTAGATTTCTTTAAAAATTTATTTTTAGGCTATTGTACCATTTATCAACCAATCAGGACTATTATTTTTTGCAATTTATTCAAAAACAACCAACAATACAACAAATATTATTCGAATATTATTTCACATTTCCTTTCATTTAATACCTGTATTTAACCCAATTATTTGTATTTTAACAAACACCCCATATCGAAATGCTGTTTTTAATCGTTCACAAATACATCCATAATAACTATTCAGACCTAAATGTAATAACAAAGCTTGAATAAGAATCATTGAATAAGAATCATTGGTTGAAAGGTTAATAGAAAAAGTTTTAAGTATTTTGAATAAACATTTAAAATTAATGTAAAAGTTTTGACATAAATAACATTTGATTTGTGGGTATAAATGGGTATATTTTAAAAGTTTGCAAAAACAATAATTTTGAAGTTGGGAATTATATAATAGAAGAGCATAAATAGTAATTTAAAAAAAATTTGGGATATTTTTAAATGTAATTGTGAAAGATTCTTTAAAAATTAATAGAGTAAATGTAAATAATTTGTGAGGGAGTAAGTCTTATAAATATAATTGTAAAAATTTGTAACAAATTAAGTGAAATTTGAGAATTTAAACATTTAAAATATGAAACTAATAAATGTATTAAATTTAATGTAATCAGTGAGAGTTTAAGCTTAAAAATATAATTATAAAATGTATTTAAGTGAGGGTAAAAATTTTGTAAAAAAAAATGACAAAATGTAATTATAAGTGGAATAATACAAATTGGCATAAGTTAAAAAAAAATTTAAGTATATATTAGCAATAGGTAAGAAATATTGGGAAAACATTTTGATTGACATTTAAAATGTATAAATAAATGAACTATGATTAAAATTGAATTAATAAATTTAAATAATTTTGATTAAGTGAAGGAATTGAAATTACAGGTAAGGCATGTTATAAAAAAAATTTAAGATTAATAAAACCAAAACAAATAATGGGAAAGATTTGTAAATGACATTACATTAATGAATAAAATTCAGTTTAAAATAATTAAAAGGAAGTGAGAATGTGATTTAAAGTACAAAAAAAAATTTAATTGATTAAAAACACAAATTTAATATTTTCCTCCTCTGCCTCTCCAACTCTCATTCTTCCTTCAAGTATTCCAATTACAATTTCGAGCAATATGTCCAGTGCGCCCACAGTTGAAACATGTAACATGTAAAAAAAATGTCCTAAACATGTCCTGCTCCTCTCAAATTTGTATTAGCATATTCTTTCCAGGTTTGTTCAGCTGGTCTTTTCCTGTAATTTGATAAATTAGTATTTATATTATTTTTATTAAAATTTAAGTCTTTTTCAAACCACTCATTATCTCTAGAATTCCTATCATTTCTGCTCCAATTATTAGTTGATCCAGAAGTGCGGCCGAAACCATATGAAGATGTTGAAGGCTGTTGTTGTTGCTGTTGAGGGGGATACTGCTCATCCACAAAGTCACCGACCATCCGACCCGACGAAGACAACAATTGACCGAACCTATCTCGCATACAACTACCCGACTGGAGGACTTGAAGATATTCCGGACCGACAATTTGAGTGAACTCAGTTGCACAACAGATGAACCGATTCCAGATAATTCTACATCGAAGTATTTCAACGTCAGCTATAACGAGGAGAGCATGCTTAGCACGACTCACGCCACCGTGTCATCCTTGAGAAACTCCGAAGAGTCTCCAAGGCCATCAGCTCTACTCGAAGACCTAGTTGTTACACAGTATGGCCAAAACATTCCAACCCAAATCCTCAAACTCTTTTTGGAGAGACTCTTTCTGAAAAGTACATAAACAAATAACAGCCAGAGAAATCGGTGGAAATTTTGTCGTACAACGCAGAAATCAATTTAATGGCAGAAGCCGAATGTTCATCATTGCACAAAGAGTGAGAAGT